AACATAATTAATTAACTTAATCATTTTCAACTAATTTATCACTCTTCTTTAAACTGATATGCTATAAACTAACTTATAAAATATCAATACTTTTTTGTGTAATAGTTTTACAAAATTGAAGTTTAATATATATTTTCTTTAATGCATTTATCCTATGGCATCCCATGTACATTTCCATTGTGGTTGTTATTAAGAACTACTTTTTTCTAATTAATATTTTTATGAAATAGACTTTGTTAAAAAAGTTTAGTGAGTAGTTATGCAGAATCATCTGAATAATACAATTTTAAAACTATGTGAAGATGTTTAGTAGAAGGGGTTCCAACTTTCTTATCTTATTCAATAAATCTATGTGCCATATATAGACTATAAAGAATATACAATACAAGTAAATGGGTCAAAGTTAACTAGGTCCAACAAAACTAATACACGACAAAACCCTCTCTTAAGTTGATCTTTATACAACAAATGATCAACTAAGCCAACAAGAGAAACAAAAGAACGCGAAGCAACAAAACAAACCAGAACAAAACAGGAACAACAACATATCAACAGAAACAACAACATATCAACAAATCAAATAATGTTGGCTGAGTCACACATTCTTAAGCCCTCCCTTAGTTTGAAAAAGGCTTCAACCTTCAGAGTCTTAGTCATAATGTCTGCCAATTAATCCTGTGATTTGCATAATTTCAATTCAATAACTCTATCATTGTTCAGTTCTCTCAAAAAATGATATCTTACATCTATATGTTTGCATCTTCCATGCAAAATGGGGTTCTTGGATAGCTTGATCGAGGAATTGTTGTCACAATTAATAGTAGTGCAGCCGTTTTGCTTCAGATCCAAATGATTTAACACATTCCTCAACCAAATACATTGACAAGCACTAGAGGTAGCTGACACAAACTCAGCTTCAGTTGTGGACAATGTGACAATGGGCTGCTTTTTTGATTACCAACATACTGCACTTAGTCCCATTGTGAAAACATATCCTGGTGTGCTTTTTCTATCATTATAATCACCTGCATAGTCAGAATCACTTCAGCCCTGCATTATCAAATCACCATTATCTTCTCTCTTGTACAAAATGCCAAAACTCATAGTTCCCTTCAAATATCTGAGAATTCTTTTGACAGCAGCAACATGAAGTTCAGTAGGTCTCTCTATGTATCTTGCAGCTAAGAAAACTGAGAAGGTCATATCATGTCTTGTAGATAACAAATACATTAGGCTTCCAATCATCTTCTTGTACATTGTAGCATCTGTAGCCTTTCCTTTTTCATCTTTTACAAGCTTGCTTCCAGGAACAATAAGACTGATGACTTTATTGCATTCTTCCATGCCAAACCTTGTCAGAATTTCAGAGGCATATTTTTGCTGATGAATGAATATTCCTTGACCACTTTGATTGACCTCCACTCCCATAAAATACTTCATTTTTCCTAAGTCAGTCATGGAAAATTTACTTTTCATAGACTGTTTGAATGCAACCCTCATTTCTTCACCATTGCTAGTGTAGATAAGATCATCTACATACAAGCTAACAATTAGAATACTCCCTTTGGTTCTATGTTTGACAAACAGGGTTGGTTCATGTGAGCATTTCACGAATTATTCTATGTTAAAGTAAGATTCAATCTTACTGTACCAGGATCTCGGTGTCTGTCTTAACCCATATAGAGCCTTTTTCAGTTTACAGACTTGATCATTATCACCTTTTTGATACCCCAATGGTTGTTGCACATACACATCCTCAATTATGTCTCCGTGCAGAAAAGCATTTTTTACATCTAATTGAAATACACACCAGTGGTTGTGTGCTGCCAAAGCAAGAATTGCTCTTATAGTATCCCACCTTGCCACAGGTTCAAAGACCTCACTGTAATCAATTCCATACTTTTGTATGTATCCCTTTGCAACCAGCCTTGCTTTGTATTTCTCCAATTGTCCCTTCTCATTGTATTTAGTCTTGTAAATCCACTTTACACATATTGCTTTCATCCCTTGAGGAAGTGTTGTGAGCTCCCAAGTATTATTGTCTTCAATAGACTGCATCTCACTATCCATAGCTTTCCTCCAAGTAGCTGATTTCACTACTTCTTCATAGGAGCTTGGATCCTCATGAGAACTAAACATAGCAATGACTAAATTCTGAAGATGATCAGTTTGGTTCTCCATGTTCCCTACGTCAGTCACATAATCTCTGAGATACCCAGGAGGTTTTCTTCTCCTTGCAGATGGACCATGTGTATTTTCTTCCTCAATAGCAGCCTCATCATTTATATGTTCACCAACATGACTTCCTTCATGACTGATTCCCGCCCCATCATTGCTGATCAACTCATCCTCATCAGTTTGCATCTCAATCTCCTCAATGTCTTCAGCATCACTTATTTGATCACCCGGTTTGATGTTCTTTGGCTTGTTCCAATTCCATCCTTTTTATTCCTCAAAAATAACATCTCTACTAACAAGTACCTTTCTTTCAATTGGATTGTAGAGTTTGTAGGCCTTTGACTCTTCACTAACACCAAGCAAAAAACACTTGATGCTCTTGTTATCCAATTTTCTTATGTGAACATCAGGGACATGGACATGAGCTAAGCAACCAAAAGTCTTGAAATGATGCACAGAGGGTTTCATTCCACTCCATGCCTCTTCTGGTGTAACATCCTTCACAACATGTGTAGGACATATGTTCATTACATATCCTGCCCATTTTACAGCTCCAGGCCAGAATTCCTTAGGTACACTCCTAGCATTCATCATGCTTCTTATCATATTGAGTAATGTTCTGTTTTTTTCTCTCAGACACCCCATTTTGCTGAGGGGTGTATGCTGTAGTTAATTGTCTTTTCACCCCATTTAAATCACAAAAACTGTTGAATTCATTTGATGTAAATTCACCTCCCCTATCATTCCTAAGACACAAAATAAGGCATCCAGACTCGTGTTAAACTAGGGATTTAAATCTTTTAAAGACATCTAAGGCTTCATATTTATTTTTCAAGAGATAAATCCAAGTATTCCTACTGTAGTCATCAATAAAGGTAATAAAATACATGTTTCCAACATTTGATTTGGGAGTGATAGGTCAATAGATGTCTGAATGAATCAGTTCAAGCTTCTTGGAGGCTCTCCAGTTTGCTTGCTTTGGTATGATATTTATGTTGCTTTTCAACTAAGCAGTCATCACACTTGCCCTCGATGTCGTGCATTTTTGGTAGTCCTTTAACCATCTGTTTTTGATGCAAAGTCTTCAGGCCCTTTATGCTGAGGTGTGCATATCTGTTATTCCATAGATTTGTTTCTTCCAAGGATGAGACTTGAAAATATTTGGAAGTCATAATTGTTATTCTGACAACATACATCCCGTTACTTGTCATTTCTATTTTCGGAATCAAGCCATTTACTTCATGGAATAATTGACACATATTGTTCTTGAATACAATTGTGATATTCTTCTGCTGTAACTGACCTACACTGAGCAAGTTGTTAGTCAGACCTGGTATATAATACACATCAGTTATCACATGTATTCTTCCTTCAAGGCACAACTTCACATTTCCTCTTCCCATAACTGCCATCTTTGAATTGTTTCCAAGTCTCACATATTCTCTGAACTTGTCATCAAAGTCAAAGAACCAATCTTTAGTTCCCACCATGTGATTGCTACAGCCACTATCAATGTACCACATTTCTTCCTTGCGTGCTCTATTTCCTTCAGAATATGCCATCAACGGGATTTCTTCTTCTTTAAATTCTACATAGTTTGCATTTTCTTCCCACTTAGGACATTCATTGCGATAATGTTCGAGCTTGTGGCACTTGTAGCATTCAACAAATTCTTTACTTTGTCTTCCTCGACCACGACTTCTTGAAGCATTTCTTCCTCTGCCTCTACCAACATTACTCATCTTGAGAGCCTGTTCTTCAACATGTTCCTTTTGCCCCTGCATTATTTGTTCATGTACCAGAAGACTCCTCTGTAGCTCGTCGATTGACATGACTGTTACATCATTGGATTATTCAATAGAACCCATTACGTAATTAAATTTTGCAGGCATGGATCTCAGGATTTTTTCTACCACTGCTACCTGCTCCATTCTTTCTCCTTGTACAGTCATACGATTTACAATAGTTAGGGTTCTTGCGAAGTAAACATTGATGGATTCTCCCCCATTGCAAGAATCTCAAATTCTCATTGCAAAGATTGCAAATGAGCGCGTTTGACCTTTGTTGAACCATGGTACTTCCTTCGCATCGCCTACCAAATGTCTTTCGCGGTGTCCCAAACCAAGATTGTTTCAAGAATTGTCATATCAATAGATTGAAAAAGATAATTCTTGGCCTTAAAGTCATGCAATTTGCTCTCATCAGCAGCTTTGCGTTGTTCCGGCGTGACATCTGTCGGTGATGTGGTGACGCCTGTCTCAATCAAACTCCAATATTCCTTGGAGCGGAGAAGATTCTCCATGAGCATGGACCAGTGTTCATAATATCCATCGAATTTAAGGACAGTGGGGTAAGAGAAATTGGAGGATTCCGCCATGGAAATGGCGGAGGAAGAAGAAAAAAGGATCAGAGAAAGAAAAAAAATACAGCTTCGGTTTGAAAGAAGAAGAAGGTCTGGATCAGAATGCGAGATTTCACTGATACCATTTGTTTGGTAAAAGGGGTTTCAACTTTCTTATCTTATTCAATGAGTCCATGTGCCATATATAGACTACAAAGAATATATAATACAAGTAAATGGGCCAAAGCTAACTAGGCCCAACAAGCCTAATACACAACAGAAGAGATATCAAATTACACTAGTGAAACACTTTAGAACTATTATTACACTATTCAATTAAAGTAGTCAGTTTCTGTATACACCAAAACTAAAACATTATACCCGAAAATTCAATATATTGGCACTAAACTACTACTGTCAACAAACTACATAATAGAAACTTTACAAGTAAAAGAATGAAATGAATTAAGTTTAAAACTTTTCAGTCAATTTTAATCTCACACATAGATTGACTAGTATTGAACTCTTGATAATCATCACCATCCTCACCAGAAACAATCTCATCAATAGTCAATGGCAAATCAGATGAGAAAGTTAAGGTTGGTTTCACTTTTGGCAAAGCAAATGGCACAGATTCATTGTTAAGAATCTGCAATACTCTTCTCATAGTAGGTCTCTCAGCACTATCAGGATTAGCACAACTCAACCCCAACATCAAAAGCTTCTTCATTTCCTCTACTTCAAACTCACCGTTCAACCTCTTATCAACGGCCTCGATTATCTTCCCTTCGGAATACAATCCCCAAACCCAATCCACCAAGTTAACCATCTTTTGACCCTCTTTTTCGATAGGCCTTTTCCCACAAGCAACTTCAAGCACAACAACGCCGTAGCTGAAAACGTCGGTTTTATCAGTAGCTTTACCGTATTGAAGATATTCAGGTGCAAGGTATCCCATTGTTCCAGCAGTTAAAGTTGAAACAGGACTCTTATCATGATCCATGAGTTTAGCTAATCCGAAATCACCCAACCTAGCATTGAAATTCCCGTCGAGCAAAACATTCCCGGTTTTGATGTCTCTATGAATCACTCTTTGCTCACATTCTTGATGAAGATAAACCAAAACAGAAGCTAAACCAACAACAATGTTAAACCTATTAGACCAATTCAACAGCTTCCCCCTTTCAGGTTCTTTGTAAAGCATCTTGTCTAAGCTTCCATTAGGCATGAAATCATAAACAAGCAGCAGCTCACCTTTCTCAACGCACCAACCCAACAACTGAACCAAATTCTTGTGCCTTAAGCCAGCAATGATGGACAATTCAGACAAAAACTCGGTCTTCCCTTCGTGAGAATGCCTCGATCTTTTCACTGCAGCAATGGTTCCTGAAGATATGAAGAACGCTTTATACACAGTACCAAACGAACCGTGGCCAACGATTCTACTAGGATGAAACTCTCTTGTAGCAGATTTCAATTCTTTGTAATCAAACTCTCTAGGACAAGCAACAAACCCGGGATCAAAATCCTTTGACGAATCTTTTTTCACCTCCTTCCATTTCAAAAAAGAATAATACCCCAACAAAGAAAAAACAGCACAGAAAAAAACAGGACCTGCAACAGCAAAACCAAAACCAAATCTCTTTTTGGAATTAGACGAACGCGATCTGTGACCTTTACCGTTCATCTCATTCCCGATAACAGAATTATCCGAAACATTGTGACTATGCAACCGGGGTCTGGCAGGTTCAAACCCAATAGTGTAAAAACTCCATCTTTCAATTTGATGAAGTTCAGTACTTTTTTCAGCAGAAGCCGAAAAACCAACGTAAACATCTTTGTTATCTCGAAAATACTCTGAAAGATCAACATTTACAAAGAGAATAGGTTCAAGAGGCTTAATACCAGAATAGCTCAAGAACACAGAAAGAGAGTTTTGATCAGTCTTGTAATCAATCCAAGAAGTGATAGTGTTGCCACTCTTGAGATCAATTCCATTGAAAATAGGGTCAACAGTACGAAGAGAGTTCAATGTATCAATGTTGAAACCGATATGATTTTCGTTCGGGTCGTTGAATCGAGGATTGAATCGAGTATCGAATTCAACTGCCACGAAATTCATAGGAAGGCCAAAGGGAGAGAAAGAGGAGGAGGAGGAGGAGGAGGAGAGATTGTTGGGAGAGAGGAAGAAACAGATGCCATCACCGAAGGAAGTGGGATTATTGGGGTTAGTGATGGAGAAAGAGAAGGTTGTTGAGAATGAAGACGTGGTGTTTGTTTGTTTGTCAAAGAGAGGGATTGGGTTGTTGTAAAGGATGGAACCGGTGCTGAGTGAGGTTGGTTTTGTTAGTGAAATGACGCGGTTCGTGAGAGAGGAATCGCCGGTGAAGGTGATGTTTGTGGTGGTGAAATAAGGGAAGTCTAGTTGGATGTTGCCGGCGGCGGCGAGGATGAAGGTGGAGAAGAGAGTAAAGAGGGTTGGTTTGAAAGGGTGCAT